TAGTTGGGGGGGACCAGGCCAGCAGGGGAGGGCAGTTGGGGGGGACCAGGCCTGCAAGGGAGTGCAGTTGGGGGTTATTAGGCCTGCAGGGGAGGGCAGTTGGGGGGACCCAGGCCAGCAGGAGGGGCAGTTGGGGGAGACAAAGTCTACAGGGGAGGGCAGTTGAGGGGACCAGGCCTGCAGGGGAGGGCAGTTCGGGGGACCAGGTCTGCAGGGGAGGGCAGTTGGAGGGGAACAGGCCTGCAGGGGAGGGCAGTTGGGGGTGACCAGGCTGGCAGGGGAGGGCAGTTAGGGGTGACCAGGTTGGCAGGGGAGGGCAGTTAGGGGTGACCAGGCCTGCAGGGGAGGACAGTTAGGGGCGACCAGGCTGGCAGGGGAGCGCAGTTGGGGGCAATTGGGCCGGCAGGGGAGCAGTTAGGCGTCGATCAGGCTGGCAGGCAGAAGTGGTTAGGGGCAATCAGGCAGGCAGGCAGGCAGGCAGGCAAGCGGTTGGGAGCCAGCAGGCCTGAATTGTGAGAGGGATGTCCGACTGATTGGGCCTAAACGGGCAGTCGGACATCCCTCGAGGGGTCCCAGATTGGAGAGGGTGTAGGCTGGGCTGAGGGACACACCCCCGCATGCATGAATTTCATGCACTGGGCCTCTTGTATAATAAATAATATTGTAATGACTATGTGGTTCCAGGTGGATACTAGACTATCATGGTGATCACTTCATAAGTTATATAAATATTTAACCACTATGCTGTGCACTTGTAACTAATATAATATTGCATATGATCTGTAATTAAAATATATATAAAAATAAAATTGAGAAAAATAAGCAGAGCCTGGAATATTTGTGTATGCATTTTACAAAGTGTAGACTGTATGCCTAAACGGCGTGCATAATATCTGTATGTGCTGATTTCCTCGTTACTGTTGGTGTGTGCTTTTGGACAGTTGAGGAAGTTGAAACTAGCTACATTTCTACATTTGTCATAACTCTGTTCAGTAAGCACAATAACAATGTGAAATTTTTATTGAGAAAGCAGCAGTTACCAGCACATTCCTACTGGCTAGAAGCTATTAGAGATCAGGCCCCCACTCTTGTCTGGTTCTCAAACATCAAGAGAACTGTACATTATCTCCAGCCTCATATGTGAAATGTATGCCCAAAACTATAAAATATTAAACAGATTGCAAAAATGAATAACAAGATGAAAAAAGTAGATCGAACTAAATTTAAAGAACTTTAAAAGCAGTCTTTGATTAATGTTGGATACATTTCATCTACAAACTCAAAGGTATGGGTATTCCCTGCAGTGGAGTGCAGTCCTCTGGGAGTTAAGGTAAAATGACCTCAGGATATATCAGAAAAGTTCTCCCAGACACCTGATCTGGAGAGGGACCATAAATTGATGGAAGCAGAGTTACTCTTTAAAGAACAAAAAAACAACAACAATATTGTACTAAAACTGAATGTGTTGGGAATCTCTTTGGAGGAAAAAATTTAATATGAACTTAGCAAACTAAATAAGTACTAAGAATACAAAAGAATTCATGACAAGGGAGTTCTCCAGCACCTTAAAAATGAAAGAAAAACAGTTCAAGCAATACGTGTAAAATCAAAGTTCTCAACTCCAGGATCATGAATAAATAACTAGTGAGAATTCAAGAACTTCCAGGAAAAGGATGTTTATGTACATAACAATGTAAAAAATGCTAAGGCACCCAACTCCATTCAGTAGATATGAATCAAATACCAAAACAAAGCAGTCCCCAATGGATTCTGGAAAATTCAAGTCTATTTAGCTCTAGAAAGAGGTAAATCATGCTCCTGGCCTCCTTGCCACAGATTTGAGTTTCCTGCAAAAGTGTTAGTAGATTCAATAGCCAGAGCTTTGAGAATACATTTCAGAGGTGAGATATTAATCCTTGGATCTTGTTTCAGCACCTACAGCTGGACCAACCACTCCCAATGGGAACCTGGTGGATGAATGTGATGATGACCAGGCCAACTGCCACAGTGGAACAGGTGATGACTTCCAGCTCACAGGTGCAGAAACCATCTCCATCCCATTGCTATGCCATTTCAGTTCATACTTCCATTGAAACCACCTAATTAATGCCTGTTTGTGTTTGTGTAGCTCCTCATGGTGGTGGTCATGAGGGTGGTTGCAGAACTGTCTCAACAAAGGCAGCCTTGCCAGAAGACATGCATCGTTATTTCCTCCATGTAAAGAACTTGTTCTTAATAGTCACGGCCATTTGAAATTATAATTTTAGACATTTTCAAAGCTGATGCTAGGATTATTTTAATTGAATAAATATTTCTCCATGGCTAAAAGTGCTAAACATATCCCCATCTTCAACCCCCCACCCCCATAACACATTAATTATACACACTTTAGAATGTTTACTTTTCCTTTCTAGTGGGGATACTTTTTTTGAGTGGAGCCTTTATCCAACTAATTGATGAAATTAGGCTTGTATTTGAAATGCAGCTTTTAAGTTAGGATTTGGTAAATCATTTTACATTAAAAGTTTCAATGACAGAATCAATTGTCATTACACATTACCACTGACTAGCAAGTATATCAGGGCTGGTGTGTGCCAAATAGCTCACTAATTAATTTAGAGTATCTAATTAATAAAAGAGAAACATGTAAATTGACTGCACCTCTGCTATGCCCCAAGCCACGCCCACCAGCCAATCAGAGCTAATATATGCAAATTAACCCAACCAAGATGGCTGCCAGCAGTCACGGAGCTGGAGCAAGCAGAAAGCCAAGGTTCCCGCCTTCCCTGGCTGGCTGTGGCCTCTGCTCAAGGCAACAAAGTTTCAATTATAGAAGCTAAATAAATCCCAGATACCTGCTTCCAGCCAGCCTCCATTGGGAGCTTGGGTGGCGGGGGGCCGTGGCCAGCCTACAAACAGCCATCAGCCCCTCACCCAGGTGAGGATGGCCACACCCTCATGGGGTGAGGGTCCCTGCTGGGGGGCTTGGCCAGCCTGCAAACAGCCATCAGCCCCTCACCCAGGCTGGCCAGGCACCCCAGCAGGATCCCCCTCCCTGAAGGGGATGTGGCCAGCCTGAAAATGGCCCTCAGCCCCTCACCCAGGCTGGCTAGGCACCCCAGCAGGACCCCACCCTGATCCGGGACACCCTTCAGGGCAAACCAGCTGGCCCCCACCCATGCACCAGGCCTCTATCCTATGTAATAAAGGGGTAATATGCAAATTGACCCTAACAGCAGAACGACTGGGAATGACTAGTCACTATGACACACACTGACCACCAGGGGGCAGATGCTTAATGCAGGAGCTGCCCCTTGGTGGTCAGTGCGCTCCCACTGGGGGAGTTCTGCTTAGCCACCAGCCAGGCTGATGGCTGCCAGTACAGTGTTAGTGGTAGTAGCCTCTCCCTCCTCCTCAGCAGCCCTAAGGATGTCCGACTGCCGCTTAGGCCTGCTCCCCACTGGCAAGTGGACATCCCCTGAGGGCTCCCAGGCTGCCAGAGGGATGTCTGACTGCCAGCTTAGGCCCAATCCCCCAGGGAACAGGCCTAAGCCAGCAGGTGGTCATCCCCCGAGGGGTCCCAGACTGCCAGAGGGCACAGGCAGGGCTGAGGGACCCCCTCGAGTGCACAGATTTTTGTGCACTGAGCCTCTAGTCTATATTATAAAAGGCCAGTGACCGTAATGCCATAATGTTGTAATGACCAAACAACTGGTCAGTGGCACAGCAGGCCTCGGTCTCACAGCATGGTGGGTCTGGGGTCTTGTGTGATTTCACACACTGGGCCTCTAATTACTCCATAATATTCTAAAACCCTCAAAGCTAGCAAGTGACCTTTTCTTCCAATTGGAATGGCAGAGCAAATGTTAGGCAAGTGGGGAAATGAAATTGTACCAGTTTGAAATTGGCCAAGGCAATTTCCACCCTATTGTTGAAAAGGTACTATGGAACCTTTATCCGGGTCAAAATGCAGTTTCATATAGCATCTGACTCTCACTTAGATTAAAACCTTGGATGTAGGTCTGTATTTTTACCCAGAAAGGATTCAGAGAGCCCACATAATTAATTTCCATATGTGAAACTGAAGGCACTACCATCATAACAGTGCATAATGTCATTGGATAATGCATTCATGTGGCCAATAAATGCTACATTGCTTTGTGCATTTGAAAATAAAGCTTATATATGTAGCCATAAGCCACAAAAATTACTCTAATTAATACAGTCTATTTCTTTGCACGATGTCAAGTTCAAGCTGAAAACCCTACAGCTGAGGTTAAAAACAGAGTACCATTCTATGAATCAGGTCCCATAGAACCTTCCCAGGGATGCCTGTAAGCACTGCCCCAAACCTCAGGCTTTTTATAGAACATTTCACACATCCATAGTGAAATTCCTCATAAAAAGGAATGGCTGCAATCATTGAAGTATATCCTTTTCAATTAGCCTCTGTGGTGAGGGTTCTTTTCTTTATATACCCTAAAGTGGTCAGTTAATATAGATTAGAACAAAGCCTCAGATTTACTCCTCATATCAGAACAACCAACTTTCTCATTTTTATATCAGTTCATTACTGAATCAATTGAAACTAAAACCTTTGAATGAAATAGAGCAAGTATATTAGCCTGGAGCAAATTGTGTATGGCAACAATTACAAACCACAGAAAATGAGTCATTTGTAGTGGAAAACTGGCAATCCTTTAAAACTCTAAGGTTATGGTTTATCTACAGCTTTTAAAATCATTTTTTGTGTACATAGAAAAAAATTTCATTCCCATTCATATTACCATGGCAAAAAAGAGTTATTTTCTCAGGCCATCACATTTGTCTCAATAATTCTATAAATATATGCATCATACTAAGAACTTCTGGGGTGTTCATAATGCACACTTCACGCCCTCATCAAGAAGGGATTTTAGAAGGCATTTCATGCTTCATATGTATTTATTGCATTATAACCAAGTTTGCTTAGTGAAGCTATTTGGTATCTTTTCCTGAAAAAGGGTATACATATATAAATGTTTGCAAGGAGCAAAACCATCACCTAAGTCAGGTGCCTTTTCACATGTGAACAAGTCACGTCCTAGGTACACACACAACTCTGCATTCTCTTTGCTCACTCTGGCACAGGCTTTACCTTCAGAGCTGCAAGTCTTGAATGTTCAGTACAAGAAAAACAAACTAAAAGCATTCTCACTTTAACCCTGATAGGTGGAGGAGATTAGGATCAAGGCTCTATTAAAAAGGGTTCAGTCTTTTAAAGCAGATGTTGTTGCTTTAATTTCTCCTCCTGGGGTGACCTGTTTGTATACAGAGATAAGTATTACAGTAAAATGCTCACTTTTTACAAACAATTCTGAATTCCAGGTGAAATGTACCAAGTGCATGGGAATGAGAGGTTTTGCTCTCCAGTATTTGCTTGCCAAGGTGAAAATTCACCTCCAAGTTATTCATTTGCAAATGGCTTTGAACTCATTACATAATAGGATTGTCTTCAAAGGCACTGGGAGGCCAGATTTCACATTGGACCTGTATGTACCCAAGAGTGGAATTTGGCTTCCAACCTATAATAAAACGGATAATGCATATTGGTTTTATAAAGTGAGTTTTTCTCCTAAAAGAACACTGGGAATAGAATGCTAATGTATTTTGGCCTCCCGCCAATTCTGCCATTATAGATTCACCTTCCTAACCCATAATATATATAATTCCTTCTTTCTGGTGTCTACCTCATTGAAGCCACAAACCTGTGTGACCACTTAGCTGGAACATTTATTGGGAGAACAGGGTTAACGTGACTTGGTGCTGCAGCAGGTTAGCTCAGAAATATTCAGACCATTCCAAGAGCATGATTCTACAGCTCTGATTCATAATCTGGATGATTTCTAATCTTTGGGAGCTGCAGGATAGGACTAGGGCTGGGTACAATAGAGATGATCACAGATCTTTATTGAATGATACTATTGGTAGGTCTACAATGGCACCCTATAATCACCTCCAAAACTCTTCATGACAGTCATAGGTCCACCCCATGCCTTCCTTACTCTGAGTCTGCCCAAGACTTTATCTCTTGGGAGAGCAGATAGTCTCTTACCATGGTCTGCAGTGCAGACACTCTTAAGGAGAAATGCCTAAACAAGCACGTAGGCAATAAACAGCAAAACACTCTTTCCCAAGTTTATTTCAGTATAAGACTCATCTGAGAAGTTTTCAGAATTACATATTTCAAGGGTTGACCCCCAGAGATTCTGGTTTTCAGTGAGATCTGAGGAGGGTAAATGGATTGGGAACTGCAATCTCAACAAATGTTCAGGTGATTCTTCTGGTTGGGCAAGTTTAGGACAGAAATATAAGGATAAAGAGTAGACAATGGAAGAGCTAAGAAAGGGGAAAAAAAGGACACAGTTAAGTGTCCACATGGTCCCCTGACCAGCTATTTCAAAGTCAACCCAAACTGACTGAAAGTTCACATTGCTCAGGGTGTTATTTGTGCAATCTCCAGTTCCTTGGAACTGTGAGGAAATGTTTCTCCCCTTCTCATTTTCCTGCAGCTTTTCCAAACTACATACTGGGCAGAATATCTGTCCTTGGGGAAAAATAAACAACTATTATTGTAGGGAAAAAAAAAGGAGGAACTACTGCCACCCACTTTAAACCACCAGTTTTTAAAAGCGATTGTAGGACCAGCCTTGCAACTCCACTGAAAGCACACATCTGCAACCTTGGGAAACTCTTCGAAACTTAGAGGTCTTGGTCAGGTTCAATGCCCCAGTTGCTGAGGACATTTGGAGGCCTTTGTTTTCACTGTTGCAATGGCATGCCATGTTCAGTCTAGGAATCAGGGGATGACCTTGGAATGAAGTATCAAACTCTCTCTCCTACCTGGATATCTTATGACTAAATGTGCTGGGTAAAAAATAATAGTTTATTTGAGCTTGACATTGTGATGAGCAAATTTAAACAAAATAATGACTACAGCTGAGATTAACAGAAGGATTTTCTGTGGAAATGTTTTCCTCTATCTAATGTATGTAAGCATACATTTCTCTACTGCATATTCTCTACAATTTTTCATTTTTCTCACTTTTGTATGTTACTCTTTTGTTTTTCAGGTGGTACCACTGTGCTGACCACAGAAAAGCCAACCATAATAGACAGCACCATACAATCAGGTATCAAATAAAATAGAAAATGTGGTTGATTTCCCATATGCCTGTTTTCCCTCCCCGTCCCCTTCTAAAATAGAACATTGCTGTACTTCTGGATTCAGCTCCTCTCAAAGCCCTAGAAAAGAGATACTATGCAGCATCTGGTCTCCAAGCATGAGCCATAACTATTGCTTCCCTTCCATCCACATGTATATGTGGCACGGAGCGAGATTTCCTGCTCTATCAGTAATTGCCAAATGGTGACAACCCAGCTCTCAACTGAAGAAATAGGCTAACATACTTTGTTTAACCACAGCACATCTAGGACATGGATTGTGTTTGCAAACTACAGAAGAAGGAAATCGTACAAGCAGTAGCCTGACTATTTATTTTCATCACCATTCTACAAAATCAAGACAGGCAAAGTTTGTCAGCTTTGCCTGCCACAGAGTTGGCAGTTTTACAACAGTGTTTCCAGTGAGCATGCCACGAAGTGGGGCGCAGGAAGCCAGGGCTCTAATTGTATGTAAGGAGAGGACTACCCTCATGGAGGGCACCTCCTCATCCTTTTATTAATAGAAAAGCACAATGACTTTTAAGGCCCTTAGTTTACTGTTTATCAAGGCCAACCACAGTTAAATAGTGGCCTCCTCTCACTCTCCTTTGTATTGTGTTAGTATTCTGTAGAATTCTTCCCTACAGACCCACACGGAAGAAAACAGTCAGTATAAAGCAATCAGAGGTTTTAAATACTTTGAAGTTAATCATTAGAGTAAGGTGAATAGGTCAGCTTTCCAGCTTCTCCCATTTCCTTTATAGAAGCTCACTCAGGCTTTGTCTCCACAGTCATTTATTAATGGGGCATGTGGCGTATATCAATGTTTCCTCAGCACTATGACACTACCCAGCTAGGCAGAGAGTATAAAGGATTGTTCTAATTAGTATGCTTCCTTAAAGGTCCCTATCACCATTGACCTGATTTAACTGCAAAATAAACTTCTCTTCAGTTAGACTTAACACCAAGTGTCCTGTAGTGTATTCAGGTTGCCAAAAGCCTTCTACCACACAGCTCAAAAACCCCAAATACCAAAAAATGAAAGAGAAGAATAATATGTTCACCAAAAAATTCCAAAACAGCTGTAGTCCTACCCACATCTTTTCATGTTATAAAATGTGGCCTTAATGGATTGTGCAGTAGTAACCTGGGATGGCTGAAACTGCCTCATGAGTGAAGCATGGCCTCTTGCGTGCTCCCTTCCTTTTCTGAAAGCCTTCAGCCCCTCAGTGAAACAACCATCAGTTGGCTCTCTTTGACTCAATATTAGAGAAGAGGGGTGAGGTGAAACAAGGAAGTTCTAGTGATGAAGCAAACACTTTAACTGTTGTATTAGTTTCTTCTCTTGCCAGAGCATTAATTAAAACCACTATGAAATTGCCAATGAACTGTTTTATTTCCCCTCTTGCCTATCAAAAGAGCTAGGGGTCATTAAAGAAATGAAAGAGAACGAGAACTGCAAAAAAAAAAAAAAACACACAGAAAGATATATCAGATCCCCAAATTGGATCGTTCTCCCTAAATGTGGAATGTCTGTATTGTCAGAGCAGGAATGACTTTGTGAACACACTTGATTTGTGCATGAGCTCAAGGCCATTGGTGTGAAGGCTTCACAGAGGAGCTCCAGAACCAGACAGTCATCTCACAGGGTCTATAGTAGTCAGAGGGCAGATGTGCAAATCATGAACCAGGTAGACCATTATTAGAAGTTCATGTCAAGCCACAGGGTTTACTGATAGGGTCCAGTTTTGAAATCCAGGGTCTATCCAGAGTCCTTTACAAATCACCCTGGTTTCTTGTTTTTCTATTGCCTGAATTAAAAATCTGCAAGTCTTTGGTTGTGGATAATGTATATCTGATTTTTTTGAGGAGTCCAGTGCATGTTCAGAATGCTCCACAAGGACCTGAGAGTGTCAATCTAGGCCAGGTCTAACTCTGAGGTGTCCCCAGGGGTCAGGTCCACATTGTTCTGCAGGCTTCAGATTCTACAGGTGTCTTTACAAGCAGTAGAAAATTAGACCCCTACACTCTCATTATAATCTGAATTTGATGAGGCCAGTATAGACTCAAGCAGAGTCTCGAGATTTCATTTTGAGGATTCTTATCAATATAATAAACTCAGTGGGCATATAATATTTACATGCTGTCTGGGTTATAACCAGATGCATAAAAGCCTATTAATTCTCTGCCAGGAATTGATGAAAATTCTGCATTTTAAATACAGCTCCCCCCTCATGAAGCCTTTTACCCTCTGAGGATCTTCAGACATTCCTAGATCAAATATTCCTAGAGTGTATTCATAATGTCTGATTATATGGGCCTCAGCTTTTCCACTTGTTTGTACCACATATCCAGTCTATAAGTAAGCAAGTTAACACACTCAATAGAAATTCAGGTTTAAAAGTTAAATCCTTGTGCATATACTGTGCTAATATTCCATTGCGAGTAAGGTAGGTTCAACAAGCACCACTGGTGTGTGCTCACAGTGGCTATAAATTTAAGTTCAGAATACTATTTCCTGCTATTTTTAAGAGTCAAGAAGGAATTTAGCCAGATTATTCCCAATGAATTTAATAAGAATTGGGTAATATTTTGAAGATTTTAAAGTCAACAGTCCTATACATTTATTTCATTCATCCGTTGCTTTTTTCTTTTTTCAGTTCTTTTCTCCTCCCCTTCTGTCTTTTTTTCTCTGTTTTTTTTTCTTTTTCCTTTCTATAAATGTTTATGTGTATTTTGTATGTTTAATAGCCTTTCTATCCAGGCTTGAATTTTCAACACTGAGCTACTCTTACTCTATACCTTTCCTCCACAAAATGCATAGATTTTCAAAAACTTTACTTTAAATGATCAAGATTAACAGAAGTAAGCTATATAATCAGGACAAGAACATCAAAGTGTAATAAAATCAAAATGTTAGAGCAATTCATCCTGTTAGATTCATAGAACTAGAAAGAACATTGAAAGATCAAGATGAACTGCCATTCACTGCAGCAGGAGAAATGCCTAAATCATCTTTTTAGGCAAAGCTGTCCCATGTCCTGGTGATTGCAAAAACACCCAAGTTCATATATTTATGATATCACCAGAATTGATAGCCAAAATAATGGATAGTGTGGTTTTCTGTATTATACAATAAATTTAATGTATTAACCAAGTAAATATAACAAGAAATGTGTGTTCCATAGTGGCTTGCTGCCCTCCTGTATATGCTTGTCTTACAAACCACATTTAAGGAGAAAACCCAAACCCACATACACATTAACATTTTCCAATATTAACATTTTCTAACATGAGATTATGTAACAGTACATTCCTGGGTTTTGGTGGTTGACATCCAAGATTGTTCATTCAGTCCCTGTTCAGTTCACTTCATCTGCATGATTTGACCTTGCTGCTCAAGTGTGGTACATTTTGGAAAGGGTTTCTCATGCTCTAAGAAGTCCTATTTCATGGTTTTGATAGACTAGACATAAAATACAGCTCTCCAATAACACTATGGCTGTGAAGTGTAGCCCTTTTGCACTAACTGAAAATGTTCATATTATGCATGTCACTTACTAGTTTACTGTTTCACACTGGCCCTATCTATGCATGCTTTGGGAGGTCACATTGTCATTGAAAATGCGATTCTATCCTTCTCAGTTTTAACACTTCATATAGTGAATGTTTTCTAAAAATGTATATTAGCATTTGGAAAGAGTTCCTTGGAAACTAAAAGTGCGAAGAAAATCATCCTTATTTATTCAAGAAATCTTTCCATTAAAATTTCTCTTCCCATTGTTAAAATTAGGAAGGAGCAATGGAGCCAAGCTCAAAGGAGAAAGAAGATATTTTGTATTAAATACTTCAGTAAAGTTAAAGAGAAGATCAAAACAAGATATGTTCTCAGCCTGTTATGTGTTGTTCCCTAAAACAGCAGATAATACCACACTTCCCTTATTGCACATAGGGATGGTTTTGAGACATTTTTAACTTCAGTGGGCAAGTCGCCCTAGGTGTGTTTCTCTCCATTTCAATGCTGCCATCTGGTGGACTGCCTAATCTCAGTGAGGAGCACTGCCCCCCCATCCTCAGGGAAAACAGGCGGCTTTGTGTTTCATTTTACATGGAGGCCTGGAACTAACAGAAGCATGAGCATCTTATCTTTAGGATTCGTTTTACCAAAATAATTCTAAGCATCAATGATTTTATTTTTTTCCATGCTTAAAACTCAAGCTACTTTCAAAAGGAGGGTGGAGTGGGAAAAAAAAAGATTTAAGAAAACACTATAGTCAAGTATAGCACCTTGTAGAACACATAAGAGAAATAATTCCTGAAAATCCACCCATACTTTAATTTTAGGTCCCAAAGACAGCATTTGGAACATTCAAAATATAAGAAACTTTCCTGGCTTCTGTGGTTCAGTTGGTTAGAGTGTCATCCTATACACCAAAAAAGGTTGCATGTTCAATTCCCAGTCAGGGCACTTGCCCAGGTTGTAGGCTCAATCCCTAGTAGGGGCAGCTCGGGGCATGTAGGGGAAGCAACTGATAGATGTTTTTCTCTCCCTCTCTTTCTAAAAATAATAAAAAATAAAAAGCATATTCTCAGGTGAGGATTAAAGAAAATAAAAAATAAAAAAACTGGTAGTTATTTAAATGTGCCTTGGTTTTACATGACCTTGCATTGAGGTTTTTAAGTGGATGAACAATTTATATGCAAATTTTAAAATTCACTGAAAAAGCAGAAACTGCACTTAAAATTAATTGACCTGATATAAAGCACAGAAGAAAAAAAAATCTTAAGATCTGCTTCAGAGATCTGACACTAAAGACCTGAAGCATTAGCTGCTGTGATGAGAATACAAATAGCCTCCAGGATGAGGCATTCACCTGCCACATTTCTAGACTTGAGGTTCCTGGATCAATTTCTAAGATTCTTTTAATTAGTGAGTATCAATTTATATAGTCCATCCTCAAGAACATAGCAACTTTTATATTAAATATTGAAGAAATAGAGAGAATGCTACATATGGATATAACATACATGCTTTGGAAAGTAACCTTCCCAGAAATTTCATGTAAAACCAACTTGACAGACAGCCCATCATTTTTTATAAAGCTGGATTTAAAAAGTTACTAAACATTATTTTGAAAATGTTTTGACATCTCTGTGCATCTTTTGAGTTTCCTGGTAATTTTAGATTTTGTGGCTTTCCCAGAATTTTCAAACAGATGTTAAGTTGTATAAATTGTGCTTTCCATGAACAAATTAAGGGTCTTTCTGATCTAAATGATTATATTTGTCTTTCTCTGCTTGTCTCTATTTTTCCTTTACACCCGCTGAAGAGTTTTCAACATATGGTTTTAACTGTGAATTTGGCTGGGGTTCTCATAAGACATTCTGTCACTGGGAACATGACAATCACGTGCAACTCAAATGGAGTGTGCTGACCAGCAAAACGGGACCGATCCAGGATCACACAGGTACTGGAGAGTTCACTGTGGACTCATTTCTTTGAATTAAGGGTTACTGTGGAGAGTTTTGGGGTCTGTTAATCTAGGAGCACAGAAAATACTGCAGAGCATTCACTTATGCTTTTATTTCCTGGAATTAACAAGATCTCTTTCCCTAATAGAGATACAATTTCCCTAACATTAACATTTCAGCAGTAGTATCAGAAAATGCTGGTTAAATTTGGCAACTGATTGACCTCCTGAAAAACAACAAACTGGGCATCGTGTGAATTAGTACCTTTTTAATACTTGATGGAAAATTTCAACATATTTAAAAGTATAAAAGAAATAGTAACACAAACTCTAAATGTACACAATCCAACTTCAAAAATCATCAAATCATAGGAATCTTACTTTATCTCTATTATCCCTGACTCTGGACTATTTTAAACCAAGTCCAGACATATATTTGCCCTCTTGTGTATTTACACAGCTGAACAAACAATAAGTGAGCTTTATGCTTGCTCTCTCTGGACCCTTGAAATGGAAGTGGATCAAAGTGGGGTGGGGTTCTTATTCTTTTGGGGAAGATTTTAAATCTGAGCAGGTAGAAACCACATCAAACCCCTGGTCACAAGCTACCCCACCTCCTGTCTTACTTTCCCTCTAACATTAATTGGTTGGAGGAGGAAAGGAACTGACAGCCACCCCACTGAGCTTTTCTATCTACCACCACCTTGTTTCCTTCGTAGTAATTTCATCACCCATCTTGAGGTATGGTATAAAGAGCCAACAGTGTCCTACAAAAAACACACATACACACACTCACAAGGAACACCCAATGCACAAACATGTACCATACTCCAATGCTTATAGGCCTGCTTACTCAGAAGTGGCTTCCCAAAGATTCTCCAGAAGGGCATTTGCTATTGCTGAGAAATCTCTTTAAGCAAAGTTTCCCCCAAGCTGGTGCTTGGGCAAGTAGGTCAGTGGGCTGATGGATGGGCAGAGGGTACTTCATGCCTTTCCCATTTTGTTGTTCACTTTCCCCCACCCTGCCCCGTGAATGTAATGATTAAGTAAGTTGAATAGTCCTCCTTCCACCACAGCTAGCTCTTTGCCTAATGAGAATGACAAGGAAATTGGATAAAATTGGACTCCTTCAATTCTGAAATACTTTCAATTGAATCTTAAGACAAGCAGTTTTAGAAAACTTAAACTACTTTGACTGTACATATAAATGGCATCAAATTAACCAAATGCAATTAGCTGGAATGAAGGCAGTAATGGTGGGAAAATTGATGCAAAGTAGAGCAAAATGGCTCAGTAGGATCTGACATTCAAAGGTTAAAAACAATGTTAGCTAGAGACAAAAGCTAAAAGGCTTGCAGAAGTAAAGCACTAATTGAGAAAATGAAGACAGAGTTCCTGACTTAGAACTGTGATAAAACCCCTGAATGGAAAAATATCAGTATTTTATGTGTTGAGCATCAGAACAGGAGGGCTTGTCTTAGATTAACAGCTGAGAAGTGTGGTTTCTTGAGAAGAATCTGTGCTTTTTGTTCTCTCAGACACCCTGATTTACTTGGCTTGGTGCCATGCCTGTCCTGACTAGCCTCCGCAGCACTAGAAACAATCATTTGCAGAGAGTGATGGGTGAGCCTTACACCTGAAAGGCAGGAGCTTGCTCATGTGAGAAGATGTAGATGAAGGAGCCCTGCACAGCACACATGCACACAGACTGACAGACACAGGATTGGGAACTCTGCAAATCAGACATGGAGATTGTTTCTGAATCAACACTGTCTAGTTACAGTCTCCTTTTACTGCTCGCTTTTGAATTTAGTTAAACGAATCTGACCTCTAAGAATGAAGCTATACACCTCCTCATAGAGGATTCCTGAAGCCCAGCATCTTTACCTGGTTCATTGAACACATGGTATTTGTATAGACCTGTTGCTACATGGCAAATGCTGCGTTGAGCATTTGAGATACACATCTAAGGGAGGGTGGCCCTGCCCTTGAAGAGCTCACAGTCTGGCTAGGGGTGGAAACAATCACAGTGCAGAGGAATGAGGAATGAGGATGCCTTATGCCAAAGGAGATCATGATGGTGAAAGATAAGATAGGAGGGGTCAGAGAAAGCAGGCCTGTCCCACAGACAGTGTAAGCTTGGCTTGAATAAGGAATGATATGTACAGAGAGATGGAGGGGTGGGGTCTGTTTCAGTGGATTGCCAGTGGTGTGCTTCGGACAGATTCCCATGTGAAGTGGTTAGATATGGGGCTGGGCTAAAGACAGTGAGGAGCCAGGGAGGCATTTTAAACCAAAAAGTGACATGAGCAAAATTTTCAAAGTCCACAATGGCAGCCAGGCCAAGGTCGGGGCAGATTGCTCAGCCTTCCTCCTATCCCTGACAGGTTTTCTCCTTCTGTCTTCTGCCTATTCTAGAAATTGCCCAGATCAACTCCATGGAATCAATAAATGTCTTTTCTAACTTCAGGTTTTTTTCAGAAGCCTGGGGGACAAAGTGGGTGAAGCAAGATGGGTGTGTTGTCTACCTGTTTGCTGTCCATCTTGGTGGACTATTCATCTCAGTGAAATGGCACTGTCTCCCAGACAGGCACTGCCACTTGGTAATTTAGTCGGATAAGAGAAACCCCAGGAGTGACTTAGTCAGCTGGTCACGGGGGACGCTCACAAGCACTGAGAGCATAAACATAATCCTGGAGATGTGGTTTTTATCCCTCCTTTTATTATTCCACCCATGGGTTTCATTAACATGCTCCTTCCAGTGCAATCTCAGATAAGCCCCCAAGTGAAGGAGGAAAGCTGCCCTTACTCACTTCCCCGGACACTGTTGACACAGGCAAGCAGATACAAGAATCAGTGCACATGTGTACAGTAAAAATTACCTCACAAATGCACAAGCCTCTGGGACAGCAAACAAAATACGCTGCTGCCCACTGAGGCCCGAGCATCAGATTCACACATACATCAGGTGAGGCATAAAGGAGACGATTTCTATTTGCAGAGCAAACAAACAGTGAAACATGACTTGTGTGTTTAGACCAGATGGTGGCAAAAGGAAATGTTCCCACTGAGGGTAATTAAAAGCAAAGCCTAGAGTAAGTCCTCGGCAGCTCCCCAAGTGTCTATGTTGCCAAGATGTCACATTCTAATAAAGCCTCGAAAATGCAACCTTTCCTCTCCTTGAACCAGAAGTCTGCGTCACACAGGAGCCTGGATCACAGTTGAGACTCAAGCTCTTGGGGTTATTTCAGGAATTTATAAGCCATTAAAATAAACTAGGGAAAAATAATCTGAATTTGGGGGGAAATCACTAGATTATTTGGGGAAAATGCAGTTTTCTTATTATCAAGCAGTTATAGTGACCAAAGTATATGCAAATTGTCCCTTCAACCCGGAGTTCAACTGGGAGTTCTACCAGGAGGCGGGGCCGGCCGTCCGCCAGCTGCCCGTGGCCCCTCCCCTTGGCCAGCCCTGCCCCAGCCGGCAGAGGCAGCAGGCAGCAGGCAGCTGGGGAAAGGGGAGCTCCAGCTCCTGGCTCACAGCTCACAGCCAGCAGCTGCTAGGGACCCCACCCATGCACGAATTTTGTTCACTTGGCCTCTAGTGATAAATAAAAATACATCTAAATTATTCCATTTAATGTTTGTGTTTACACAGGTGCTGCTGAATCAATCTTAAAGTTGCACAAAAATAGATCTGCCCTGTGCTTTCAGTCTGCTTGCAATGGTGCAGAGGCGCCCTGAGTCACAGCCTGTGCCCCTGTGCCAATGCATCCCTAATGAGCAGCGTCTAAATGCTGCTTTGCAGCCTTCCCCATATGTCCATTTATAGCAGCTCAGAGCTGAACCCTGGGTCCCCAACAACTGCACTCCATTCCCTTTCCACTGCAAAGCAGGTTTGGGTTTTTGGTGCTCAGCTCAGGAGAGAAGGGTGTGAGTGATGAAAGTTGAAAAAAAGAGACAAAGGAATTATAAATTTGGACACTCTAACACAGTTTTCTGTCATGGCAGGAGATGGCAACTTCATCTACTCCCAAGCTGACGAAAATCAGAAAGGCAAAGTGGCTCGTCTGGTGAGCCCTGTGGTTTATTCCCAGAACTCAGCCCACTGTATGACCTTCTGGTATCACATGTCTGGTTCCCATGTGGGCACACTAAGGGTCAAGCTGCGCTACCAGAAACCAGAAGAGTATGACCAGCTGGTCTGGAGGGCCATTGGACACCAAGGAGACCACTGGCAGGAAGGGCGGGTCCTGCTCCGCAAGTCTCTGAAACTTTACCAGGTAAATTTCCCTCAGTGGGGAGGGCAGCTGCTTCAGGGACATGAGGTTAATATTTTGAAGGTTATCAAATGAGATGTGGGAATCATTCCAAAAATTATTTCAGGGGTTCCCTGAACTTGAGATATTGCTGCAGTAATGATCATCTCAGTAGCATATTTCAGACTCCTACATTACAGGAATAGAACTAATTATCTGATAAAGGATCAAAAATGTTACTTTATAATGGGGCTGTAACAATGAACATTCCTTTTATTTCCTGCCTTTTTCAGTTTTAAGTTTTGTATTATAAAAAGAGTGTGAGGAGTTTAATGCCATCACCCGGCAGTTAATATGAATTGATGAGCAAAGTATGTGCTTATGGGAAATCTCATGAATTTTATTTATGTGCTATAGCTTAAGCTGAACAAGCATTTGTAAACACTGCTGTTTAAGACTGAATATTTAAATACTGTGAAAATAATCTCGTTTTGTTAGGTGATTTTTGAGGGTGAAATTGGCAAAGGAAACCTTGGTGGGATTGCAGTGGATGACATTAGTATTAATAACCACATTTCACAAGAGGATTGTGCAAGTAAGTACAAGTTCTATAGAAATCAAGGGTAGGATTCTTGGCATGAGATGGTCTTTGTCTTATTCATCTAGACCTGGAATTTCACTGTGGGCTATGAGAATATCATGTGAAATGAATAATGTGGTACAACAGGGCAAAAATCAGAATAGTTTTCCTTTAGTTACCCTATTACCTCTCCTTCGTTTTTAGAATGTCTGGTTGGTACCTATAAAGCTATATATGTAATGATGTGGATTCCAAAGATCATAATAAAGAAAAAAATTCTCAATTTACAGGCTATATATGTGCCATGCCAAAACACTTTGGTGAAAAGTAGAAAACTCAGACACCTGGATAATTCTAAATATTTGGATGTATAAACAAAACAGCAGGTCTTTGAAAATGTTGATCACAGTGAATTTAAGATTACATTGTTAATGAATCGTAGAAGACATATTCTTTTTTTTATTACAGATAAGTAGATATTTCTGACTCTTAAAATATTTTAAATGATTCAAAAGAATATATTACATTTAGAAACTTTGCCTAGTATTTCAGAGTTTATGTTTTTTATGGTCTGGTATATATATATATATATATATATATATATATATATATACATATCCCCTGGTTCTTAATATAGAATTATAAATACCATCACTAATGGCAATGTAATAGCACAGTAATTAGTATTAAGCTCCATTTGCTACACTTAAACTTTTGTTATATATTATTACACTAGAGGCCCCGGTGCACAAAAATTTGTGCACTGGTGGGGGGGGAGGGGGTCCCCCCAGCCCGGCCCTGTGCCCTCTCGCAGTCTGGGACCACTTCGGGAGATTAACGACCTGCTTGCTTAGGCCCTGCTCCCGGGTTGCAGAGGGCAGGCCCAATCCCTAGGTGCAGCACCTGGTCAGGCTCAGAGCAGGGCCGGTTGGGGAGTTGGGGTGCCGCCCCGTCATGCACAGAGCAGGGCGGATCGGGAGGTTGCGATGCCCCCCTCAGTCCCGCTAGGGTAGGGCCGACTGGGGGGTTGGGGTGCTGCCCCCTTTCACTCACAGAGCAGGGCCCATCAGGGGGGTTGGGGCTCCGTACCCTTTCACACACAGAGCAGGGTCAATCAGGGGGTTGGGGAGCTAGCTCCCCCCTTGTCATGCACAGAGCAGGGCTGATCAGGGGGTTGAGGAGCTCCCCCCTGTCACTCACAAAGTAGGGCTGATAGGGGAGTTGGGGCACCGCCCCCTGTCACACACAGAGCAGGGCGGATCAGGGGGTTGGGGTGCTGCACCCTGTCACACTCAGGGCAGGGCCAATAGGGAGGTTAAGGCTTTACCCTGTCACACACAGAGCAGGGCAGATCAGGGGGTTGGTGTGCTGCACCCTGTCAAACACAGAGCCGCAGGGCAATCAGGGGATTGGGGAGCTCCCCCCTATCAGGCACAGAGCAGGACTGATCAGGGGGTTGGGGCACCTTCCCCTGTCACGAACAGAGCAGGGCAGATAGGGAGGTTGTGGCCCCGCCCCTTGTCACACACAGAGCCGCAGGGCAATCAGGGGATTGGGGAGCTCCCCCCTATCAGGCACAGAGCAGGGCTGATCAGGGGGTTTGGGCGCTGCCCCCTGTCACGCTGATCCCGGTGCTGGGAGCCTCGCTGCTCCGCTGATCCCGGTGCTGGGAGGCATATTACCCTTTTACTATATAGGATAGAGGCCTGGTGCATGGTTAGGGGCTGGCTGGTTTGCCCTGAAGGGTGTCCTGGATCAGGGTGGGGGTCCCCACTGGGGTGCCTGGCCAGTCTGTGTGAGGGGCTGAGGGCAGTTTTCCGGAAGCGGGTGACTGAAGCTCCCAACCGCTCCTTTTTTTCTTTTCTTTTTTTTATTCTGGGCCAGCTTTAGCTCTGAGGCCTCGCTGCTGAAAACATCGATACAATGTTGCGGTCCAGCTGGCTTTCCGTCTGGCTGGTTTCTGGGGTTTTGTTTAGCTTCTTATTTGCAACATAGTTGCTTAGAGTTGCAGCTGAGAGGCTGGCAAGTCCACCGGGGAACATTAGAGTCCGCAGTCACTGGAGCAAGCAAGCCTCCCTGCTCGCTTCAGTTCATGGCTGCCGGCCGCCATCTTGGCTGACAGTTAATTTGCACAAGGATATGCTGATTAGCCAATGGGAAGGGTAGCGGTCGTATGCTAATTACCATGTTTCTCTTTTATTAGTGTAGATAATATGATGTTAATTCCATTCCAACAAAATGGAATGACCCTATTGAGTGAACTTAAGACAAAGGAGGCCTTTTGGGATTTTGGTCACTTCAGCAATTTACAAAGTTTTCATTATATAATATATTGAATATACATAATGCCTAAAGTGTCAGTGATTTGACAGGGTCGGTTGAAAACATTAGGGGAAATTTTTTTTAAAAAGCAGTGAATAAAATCCAAAAGAAACCCGTTGAACCATGAGTGTGTGTGTAAGTGCATGTGTGTGAGTGTGTATGTTTGTGTAAAGTTTATGTACTTTGTGTGATTGTATTTTGTTGGCAATTCAAATATCTCTTTTAATTTTGTTTGACTTGCCAGGACCAGCAGACCTGGATACAAAGAACCCAGAAAATAAAATTGATGAAACAGGTAAATGTGTCTTCTTGACCAATTTTTAAAATAGTTTTCTATGGATTTCATTATATTTATAGAGAAACTTTCTATCACAATCCAATCTAAGCTGCTCCAAAATCTTGAGGAGCCTCTGTGACAGTCTGGCTTGTGTAAGTGGTTGAGCTGTGGGGAAGGATATCAGCCATGGCCTTTCCTCTCTGAGCTGGAAGAGGACTTAGAGAACCAGTCTCATTTGATAACAATGGAAATAGAAAACTAGTGAGGACTGTGATATACCCAAAACCTACAGTGATCTTCATACTGTAATTTGAAACCAACCCAAATACTTGGGCCTGGTTGATATCCAGATATGATCTTTAAAGGGCTGGAGCCCAGTGTCTGCAGCAATCTGTTGAGTTTGGTCCATATGCTCCCATCCTTATCTACTGAAACCCTAGTTTTGTGACAATGAGGATAAGGATTTATTGAGGAGCTAGAATGCCCCAATAAATCCTTATTGCATAGATTATCTCTTTACTCCTCACAGCTACCCTCTTCCTCTGAGGTATATTTATCCCATTTTTCAGATGAGGAGACTGAAATTCAGGGCAGTGACCTGCCTTAAGTAGCATTGCTATTTAGGTGGTAGCCTCTGACTTGAGATTGATTAACTTGAAAATGTGTTTTCTTTGAACACTGGTTGGTGATCCAATTTAAGACATTTGATCAGAGTTAGGCCTTGCCTGGCGTTATTTTATTTCTATAAGCTTCTACACCTCAGCCAGCAGTTGTGAGTCATTGAACACTTGTCCCAGGCCTGCCCATCTGCATCTGCATCTGTTGCTATTAGCAATGTAGTCCTACCACAGCCAGACTTGAACTTGACCAAGATATATGGCTCATTTAGCTTAGCTACATCTCCTGTTCTGAGATGTAAACATTTCTAAAGGTTGTTTCAAACCAATGTTTTGCCATGGGATGTTTTCCCCTGTTTAGGGACTTGCATCTCACATGTTTAGTTTTCTTTGATTGGGATCTTTGTCGATCCAAACACCACTAAGTAAACACCCTGCATATTGCACATTAGCATTTTAGTCTCATTTCTAGTACCAGGTAATTAGGCTCAAAGTTCCCATGTTCATAATCTCTCATGTTTTGCTTTAGAGAAAACATTTCTCCAGGGACTGAACTGCAGGGCAGTATGACTTTCTCTAGGGAAACCTCCAGGGCTGCAAAGATGCTGATTATTAAACAGTTTCTATTTAGCACAGCACAGACACAGTCTCTAGATAAGAGCCATGGCCCATTTCTTTTTTTTAAATAAATCTTTATTGTTCAGATTATTACAGTTGTTCCTCTTTTTTCCCCTCATAGCTCCCCTCCACCCGGTTCCCACCCCACCTTCTGCCCTTACCCGCCCCCCCCCCACTGTCCTCCTCCATAGGTGTACAATTTTTGTCCAGTCTCTTCCCACACCCCCCACACCACTTTCCCCCCAGGAATTGTCAGTCCACTCCCTTTCTATGCCCCTGATTCTATTATATTTACCAGTTTATTCTGTTCATCAGATTTTTTATTCACTCGATTTTTAGATACACTTGTTGATATGTATTTGTTGTTCATAATTTGTATCTTTACCTTTTTCTTCTTCTTCCTCTTCTTAAAGAATACCTTTCAGCATTTCATATAATACTGGTTTGGTGGTGATGAACTCCTTTAGCTTTTTCTTATCTGTGAAGCTCTTTATCTGACCTTTAATTCTGAATGATAGCTTTGCTGGGTAAAGTAATCTTGGTTGTAGGTTCTTGGTATTCATCACTTTGAATATTTCTTGCCACTCCCTTCTGGCCAGCATAGTTTCTGTTGAGAAATCAGCTGACAGTCGTATGGGTACTCCCTTGTAGGTAACTGACTATTTTTCTCTTGCTGCTTTTAAGATTCTCTCTTTGTCTTTTGCCCTTGGCATTTTAATTATGATGTGTCTTGGTGTGGTCCTCTTTGGATTCCTTTTGTTTGGGGTTCTCTGCGCTTCCTGGACTTGTAAGTCTATTTCTTTCACCAGGTAGGGGAAGTTTTCTGTCATTATTTCTTCAAATAGGTTTCAATACCTTGGTCTCTCTCTTCTTCTGGCACCCGCATAATTCAGATGTTGGTATGCTTGAAGTTGACCCAGAGCTCCTTACACTATCTTCATATTTTTGTATTCTTTTTGCTTTTTGCTTTTCCAGTTGGGTGTTTTTTGCTTCTTCATATTTCAAATCTTTGACTTGATTCTTGCGATCCTCTAGTCTGCTGTTGGATCTCTGTATATTATTCTTTATTTCAGTCAGTGTATGCTTAATTTCTGATTGGCCCTTTTTCATATCCTCGAGGGTCTCACTAAATTTATTGGCAGTTTCTAGAAAATTCTTGAAAAACCTTATAACTGTGGTTTTGAACTCTATATCCAGTAGTTTGCTTTCCTCCATTTCTGTCATTTGTGACCTGTTTCTTTGTCTCCACATTTTTTATGCTTCCCTGTGTTGATAGAGTGGCTTTGTGTGCTAGGTGTCTTATAGGGCCCAGTGGCTCAGCCTCCCCAATTACCTGAGGTGGACACTCTTGGTGCACTCCTTTGTGGGCTGTGTGCACAGTCTTATTGTAGTTAAGCCTTGATTATTGTTGGTATCACTGGAAAGAATTGACCTCCAGGTCAATTGGCTGTGAGAATCAGCTGTGTCTACGGTGGGAGAACTTCTGTGCTGGAGACACCCTTATGAGGCAAGACTTGCTCCAGTGGGGCTTTGGTGCTCACTGAGTCTGCCCCCTGAGTGTGTCCCTTATGGGTCTGAGGAGTTGTAATCTGGATGGTCCCACTCTGACCACTAGGTGCACTGTCTCTTGGATCTTTAAGGAGGTGCTAATTTAGCCTCTACCTGAGGCTACCCAGTAGGAGCTATGGAGAGATCTGCAGATTCCTCTTCTTTGTTTGGGGTTTGGAGGTGCCCAGAAGAGGCCCAGCTCTGCACTTTACTTCTGCACCTTCTCTGAGTCTCAGTGTGCTTTTCTCTTTCCTTCTAGTTGTAGAATTTCCACTCAGCCAGCCTTCCTGTGGTTCTGGATGATGTCCGTTTTGTCTTTTAGTTGTAATTTTGAAGTGGTTGTGCGAGGCAGCAATTTCAGGTGTTTACCTATGCCACCATCTTGGTTTCTCTGCCCATGGCCCATTTTTAATTTCAACAGCAAGCATTCCCTTGTTCTGAACAATCTCTTTTTCTTAAGAGAAGTCACTGTAGACTTGGGAGAAAGTTGCCTGAAGTGAAGATCTTCATGTGGGAGAACAAACACTTGTATAAACCGTTCCAGGCACTGGACACAGCACCCCATGAAAGGGAAGATTGGGAGGTTTCCTGATTTCTGGGTGGGCATCAGCCAAATACACAGGGAAAGGTTAAATCTTCTGCCAGACAAATGTGTGACTCATTTGCAAAGCTTAATGACTAATCTGGCCAAGGACTAAAATGACAGATTACAATCTAGCACAGATGGTGGGTTGCATGAAATCTGAATTAGATTATAACATAAACCCACTATTTACCCAGAATTGGTTGTTTCCATGTGCTAGGCTAGCTGACCGAGTCCCAGCTCCCTCGCCTTCCACACCTCCATTCCCAACAATGAGTCAAACACAAACCTGGCTGTTTCCCAGCATTGAGGGAGCCAAACCCCACTTCAGAGAGCTCCCACAGGCTCTGGGGAGAGCACAGGCAAAATAGGCATGTGATTTTCTCCTTTTTCTGTCCTTTTCTCTATTTTTCTGCCTACTTCCATCTGATACATTGGCAGGTCTCATAGATTTTTGTTTTCTTCCCTAGGGAGCACCCCAGGATACGAGGGCCTGGGAGAAGGTGATGAGAACATCTCCAAGAAGCCGGGCAATGTGCTGAAGACCTTGGACCCCATCCTAATCACCATCATAGCCATGAGCGCCCTGGGTGTCCTCCTGGGTGCTGTCTGTGGGGTCGTGCTGTACTGTGCTTGTTGGCATAATGGGATGTCAGAGAACTATAGTTCTGCCCTGGAGAACTATAACTTCGAACTTGTGGATGGTGTGAAGTTGAAAAAAGACAAACTGAACACACAGAGTACTTATTCAGAGGCATGAAGGCAGACAGATGAAAATACAGTTGGAGAATTGAGGTGAAGGACATAACTTGAGTGTATTGATCTTTCACTGTACAGGCTGGGAAATGCGTCGATGACGCTGAGCCAGGCTTTTCTCAGGAGTTTCAATGAGTATGGCCGACAGACATGAACAAGTTAGCTGTATTAACAATCGGAATCATGTACAGTCAGCTTTTTTCTGTTGGTTTAATTTGAATAATCAAATGCTGGTGTTGAGACCAAGTATGATTGACTTAATGATTCATTTTGATTCTCCTTTCCCCTCTCTCCTCTTCTTTTAATGGATACTTTTCTGAAACTGTGCAAAATCCAAGATACTGGTGCCAAGTGTATTCCCTGGGGCCCTTTTGACGGACATGCTACCTGTAGCCCATGCCCACAGTATATTAGAATATCTGCATTTCAGTGGACTCCTGAAGCTGTACCTGTGTATAATCGCCCACATTGTGCATAGGCAAAGAAGGATTAGGGTTTTACTTTAAAGTACTATAGCTTCAGTACCAGTATAGTATGTGAACTCTGTTTATGAAGCAATATCGTCAAATTTCCTTTTGTTTCCAGTGTTGTACTAAACCTCGTGCTTGTGAACTCCATACAGAAAACTGCCATCACCAGACACTGCTGGCAACTGGGCGTGCTGCTGACAGCCACAAGGGAAATCCACGGCACTGGCTAGTCCATGTCCTCTCAAGTGCCTTTTTGTTTGTACTGGTTCACATTATGTTCTATTACGACCTGCTCTGTTTTTGGTGGTGAAAGCCCAACTTGAATCAAACCCTGGTGACCCACTGACTAAAAAGAAAGTATATTTTAGTGTAAGATGTCAGCCCTTTTCCCCACCCCTCCCCCATTTCCACCCCCCATCCCCTCCCCCGGAAAGCAAGGGCTGGGAAGATTTGGCAACGTGGCTTAATTCTTCTGTTTTTTCTGCAGTTCAATTTTGTGTCTCTTGATCTTTTGTATAAAGCTGCAATATTCTCTCCTATCGTTCTTTCATATGGAATGTATTTTCAAATGTAAACTCTTTCTCTCCTATCTCTCTGTCTTTTCTCTCTTAAATTTAAGCATTTGCCATTGTCCAGAAAAGAAACTTGCAGCTTTAACCTGCTGGTAATGGCAAAGAATTTTACTAGAATTTATGCTTAAAAAATAAGTAAGTAAATAAGTAAGTAAATAAATAAATAAGGGAAATTCCTAACTCTGTCCTCCAAAGTCTAACTTTGGTTTTCTTGTTAACTGGTTAAAGTGACAGTATCTTTTTTCCTTAAGCCATTTGTCTATTCCAATCAAAATAATCTTTGATAGAAATGTTTGCATTTAATAGAAATAATGATAAATTGAGAGAAGAAATGATATTAATTGGTTTTCAAGTGAGACCCAAAGGAAGGACTGGATACAATTCTTCAACTATCCAAAACCATGTGGTTTTTACATCCAAATATGCAAAACTTATCCATGAAAACCTTCCTTTTTGGGTATTGGATAAGACAAGGAAAGTGAAGAAAGAAGAGTTAATTTAAGAAAGTGTCTAGAAATCCTGATACCTGGTGGTGAAGTATTTTCAGATAAGAAGGGGGATAAAAAATGAATAAAGTCAAAACAACTGTTTTTAAAAATCCCTTCAGCAGTAACCCAGAGAAAACAGAGACTTGAATGAATGCTTTAAAAACTTTCAATTGCCCACAAAGAAAAAGCCTGCCTTCGGACTGGTAAGACCTAAGCTTCTAACAGCTCAAAGAAGCAAATATCTTATCAAGCAGCATATGAATTAATCCAAAGAAGCTTTGGTTGTTTTCACTCTATTTGTGGTCATGGCTCATTGTACATAGATAGAACTTTGAGACCTTCCTCCCTTTCTGCATTGCTACAGGGCTCACTCAGAAATATTTGTGGGAATCACATTTGTATCATGGAGGAGACAGTCCATTCATCTTGGCTTAATTGGATTGAAAATGCATTTTGTTTCCAGGAAAGTATTGATCACTATGAAAGAAGAATAGATTTTTGTCCCCAGAGGCATTCATTCAGTTGTTTTAATCATACCAGGACAAAAGCACTAAGACTTAATTTTTTTTAAGGCAATGAATTTAAAGTTGTCCTCAGCCAAGGAAAAATGATACTGAGACTTTAAATTTTAAAGTATCTTGCACTGATAAATATATTTAAAAATATATGTTTATAGAGTTATTAATTTGTAAAGTCAGTGTTACAAAATGTCCAGTTTATATTGTTTTAGGTTGTTTCGTAATTTTTAAAGGTGTAAAATAACATATTTTTTCTTTATTGAAATCTATAAAACCTCCTGTAGTAAAATGTTTTCATTTTACTGGTATATTACTGCTTCGTGTTTTGTACCATCATAAAATTTTGTGCAAGTTTTTTTTACAGAAATTTTTATTTTCTATGACAGTATGACACTTGTAAAAATTGTTGTTTCAAAATGAACAGCGAAGCCTTAACTTTAACTGACATTTGTATTCTCAGACACTGAGTGGTAAAAAACTGCATAGAACTGAAATGTAACTTAAATTCCAAACTATGACTACTACATTCCAAAGAAACAGTTGAATTAAACATTTTCATAAAATATCTCAAACCTGATGGCTTTTATTATATTAGCTTTGCTATTGTTAAAGAAATTGGTATTATTCCAGCAACAAATAACTTTCAACGTGGTTTTTTTTTAAGTTCTCTTTTAAAAATAATATCCTAATAAGGAAAAAAGATTAAGAAGATATTTCCTGAAGGTAGAATACCAATCCAACTTGGACACTTATCAAGATAATGAATAGTGAATTTAGCTTTATAAGTGGAAAATTTTCAACCCCAAATCTTGTGTCAAATGTCTATATTCCATTTGGCAAAGTACTTTTAAGTTTTTTTATAATGAAATTCACAAATACTTATTGGCAAGTGTTGATCTTGTAGAAAACAGCTAATAAATATGATGGTCTTTATGCATGCACCAAGCTAAATTTAGATGCTTTAGGGCAAAGTTGAGCATGGCATTACTACTGGCTGTTTGGTAATTCTTTGGAAAAATTCTATTCCATCTGGGAACAAAATAATAGTAGTAATACTAATAATGGCAGCCAAAAAGTAAAATTATTGCTGAATAGGACCCTGTAGAAAACTTGTTACAATATTGGCTTACCCTAATCCTTGTTATTCAGGGACAAATAATTATTTATTTATCTTCCTCTGGTTTAGGAAAACTTACTTCTGAGAGCATAGGAACTCCATGAGGGATGGGCTGCTCTGTACCGCTCTTGCTAGTGAATCCACATTTCTGCTTTTTTCTAGATGTTTATACCTTTTACCCCAACAACAATAGGGCATTTTCTCTATTGAATGGAATTTTAGATCTCTCTGCTTAGAGAAGAGTCAGAGATGGAACTTAAATTGTATTTATACTTATAGATATTTCTCCAGAAAACATGATGACTTGAAAGGAATCTATCAGAATTAATCCAGACATACTTTTTGAAAAATGCTTATGGCCATCTATACTAATAAAAGGGTAATATGCTAATTAGACCAGAGATCTTCTGGATGTCCTTCCAGACAAAGCCACAGTGGTGGGGGCTGAGGCAGAGGCAGTTAGGGGAGATCAGGTCAGCAGGGGAGAGCAGTTAGGGGCAATCAGACCACCAGGGGAGGGCAGTTAGGGGGTGATCAGGCTGGCAGGGGAGCAGTTAGGGGCATCAGGCCAGAAGGCAGAGTGGTTAGGGGCAATAAGGCAGGCAAGCAGGCAGGCAGGCAAGCAGTTAGGAGCCAGCAGTCCCGGATCGTGAGAGGGATGTCTGACTGCCGGTTTAGGCCCAATCCCCGTGGGTCCCGGATTGGAGAGGGTGCAGGCCGGGCTGTGGGACACTGACCCGCTTGTGCATGAATTTCGTGCACCAGGCCTCTAGTGTATTATTATATCTATTTCATTGTTTGAGAAGACCTAAAATATAGAAGCTTTTCAACCCTTTCTTATCCCAAATTAATGGCTAAGCTAGGCTTTTCTTAGTGGGTTTAATGAGCTAAATCAATGTATAGTACTTCCCAAAATCAGGAATTAAATGTCATGAGAATTGAAGCATTTAACTTAAAACATGAAAATCATTTATTGTTCCATCTTCTGTTTCCCTGCTAACTTATTAATTGCCACTTGTGCTGAATTGAACTATATTTTTTTGCAAATCAAATGGATTTTGTAACACTCCATAATGTTTCCACTTCCAAATGGTAATTATAGCTGATGTATTGAATTAAAAAGCAGCTTTGTCAAGAATTAGCTCTATCTTCCTAAACTATGTCCACCAAGGGATCTTAAACAGCTTTTGCCTTGGAGGTTGAAAACATGAGTGAAGAGAGCCTCAAATTGAGTAGAACTGAACACCAAGAAGCATGTGAGACCAGGAGGATAACTGATTTTTAATTTTAATATTACAAAGAAACATTGCAAAGTGATACAGACTAGAACACCATGTTATCCCATGCATGTCAATTGTTTGTCAGCAATAAAGATCCTATGAACTTGATCCCATCATTTCAGAGAAAAACCTACTTCATGGAACTCTCCTATGGCAATTTCTTTAATTTGAGAACAGCTCTGCGGGGTAACTTTTGTAATTATCCAACTTTATCAATGAGCACTCCAAAGTTTAGAGAGGTTGAGTGAAGAGTTCAGGATGTATCTGGTCTCATGTCCCTCCAACCCTCCTATCACTCCACAGTCCTGCATTATCTTGTGAGATGCTTACATAGGGCCTTGCTAATCAAGAACCAGCAGCAGCAGCACCTGGATGCCTGTTAGAAATGTAGAGTCTTGGGCCAAACTGCAAATCTGCTGAGTAATTTTAGCAATATCCCCAGGTGACCCGTATTCCCATCCATTCAGGTTTGAGAAGCACCTACACAGTCTGCAATTACACTGAACCAGTTGTGCGAGAGTTTGCCTTGCTTCCAATCGTGGTTAAGGGACACTCAGAGGCTGGGAAACATCCCTGCAGGTCTCATAAAGTAATTTTCAGAAGCGTCTGAACACAGTACAGCCTGGAAAACAGAGTAAAATTAGTAAATTGGAAATCTCACTCAGAAGCACTTTGTGGCCATTCTTCCAGATCACTTGGGAGGGGCCTAAATGTGGGCTTTTCTGAGAAGAGATAGAGCTGAAGAAATATTTTCTCTGGATAAAAATTTTGAAAAGCTACAAAAGCACAGTAAATACTCTGTTACACATCATAGGGCATTCAGGGGAAGAAGGGGAGGGCCAGTTTGTGAACAGATTAAAATCCTGATGGTAAAACTACACAAACCCTATTTAATCCTTCTTTTATGACCTCTAATCTTGTTCCTGAGGGTCCTTTTTACAAGTGAGTAACTGTCAGATTATGGAGCTTTATTGTCCAAGAGGACTCCTGAGGGGATTTTTTCTGTACAGAAAGATTGTCTCCACATCTGAATGGCATGGTACCTATTATGATGTAAGAGTTCAATAAATGTCTAACGTTCATAGTCAATACCTAATTTTATCACTGACCTGTTAATGGAATTAGAAAGTCACTTGCTCTGGCTGCATTAATGGGCATGCTGTCCGGGAAGGTGCAACTGAGTCTCGCCCATGTAAAGCTTGAATGGGATGACTTGTCAGGTCATGGTCCCTTGTGATGCTCCTTCCAATGATTTGGACATCTTCCCCTCTCCATCATTTTTGACAGAAGCTAATTCCACACTCTTCTTCAAATGGCCAACCTAGAATCTCATTATCTTGCAGAAATGTGGTGCTGGCCATGTTGATGCAACCCTGTTGGGAAGCCGTTTCTTGTTTATTGGAGCTATCATTTCTCTAATTTTGTCCAGCTTCTGAAAGTTTTCAATAATGGTGAAATTGCTCCTTGACTTTGAATATATGATCTAAAACAGAGTCAATTATCTTAGTAAGATCTCTTGCAATTCTTCTACTCTTATTCAAACTTTTCATCTAAAAGGACATTATATTTTGGAGTCTTAAAATAATTTTCTTGGCTCAATGCTTAATTTTATATGTACTTCAGTCACCTAAATTCCTATTAGTTGTAAGAGTAAATAGTCTTTCTGTCATCCCTTCAATTTAGTTTCACCTGTTTATTATTAAGTTTGGGTGGTTGCAGAGGTCCTGGGAGTGGCTCCAGTTAGGTCTTTTCCCTGTTCCCTAAGCAAACAGAGTTATGACTTCAGATATGTGTGTTTCAACCAGTCAGACAGCACATTATTGAATCTACTCTACATAAACTTCTTAACTCCTTAATGGATTTTCTGAAGGAGTTAAGAAACTGTGTACCATACTTTACTAGATGCTTCAATGAACTCTTAAAACACCTTGTGACTTGAGGTTAAAAATAACTGAAGTTCAGAGAGGCTGAGAAATGAAACTAATATCACACAACAAGGTATTAAGTGGCATTGCCAAGATTCAAACACATATCTGTCTAATATATCCTAAATGCCACTCTGCACTGCCTCTTCAGTGTGAAAGAAAGTCTCCTTGTTACCAAATGTCTACTGTCATAAGAATGCTTTGAAATGCATGGTACTGTGGTCTCTCTTTACACTTAGGCCAGATATTAGTCAGTGTAGGCTAGTCCTTGCTGTGGTAAGAAACAAACTCCCAACTATTAGTGGCTTATCACATATATTCAATTTACCCAAGCTTGACTGCGGGTTCAGTGGCTCTACAGGACAGCTCTATTCCAAGCAGTGAGTAAAGGATCAGGCTGTTTGCTTCTTACTGCAATACCAACCACAATGTTTGGCTTCTAGTCTCTGAGCAAAAGATTAGACTCTTGATGCTGCAACCTAGGATTGACACATGGCCCTACCAAATTGTAAGGGCTCTTAGAAAAGTGGAGGAGCACATGCATATTCAATAAGCAGTGGGTATCTCTGCCACAACATGCAAGGGCGAAGCCACACTCCTGCTGCTGAAGGTAGATGAGATTATTTACTGTATGCCACATAGGGATGTGACATGTCTCTTAGACTAGAAATCAATCATAACTTAGGGAGAGAAATAAGTTAGGGGGAGCAGTCAGTTGAATGAAATAAATGAGATGATATGGCTTCTGCCAAAAATGAGACTCTTGCATGTTGGATTGCTAGGAGGCATCCCCATGTAGACACGGGTCAGGAGAGAAGTGAGGAACCTGGGATAAGCGACTATGGAATGATATCAGCCCTTTACATCCAGAGAACAAAGATTTTAGGAGGCAGTATGTGAAAGGAGGCAGACTCTGTGAGTCCTGGGAATAAACCTTTATATTTCTCATATGTTCTCTGTATTTCTATTTGAATTTCCCTTAATATTTAGTCATTTAGAATGCAGCCATTTTAGAACTGTTTAGTAATTTTTAAATTCCTCAAGCATCTCAGCTATCCAAATGGGAGACAGCAGAAGGGTCTGTGTTCATATGTGGCTAAGAGAAAAGAAAAGAAGGCAAACATTACCCAGAGTCTTATCCATATCCACAGTTCCCATCTCCACTCCTTATTTTATTTTTTCCATAGAGTTTATCATTTTTTAGTATAGCATCTATTTCACTTATTGATTTTGTTATCCATCTACTCTAA